CCGGCCCAGTGTCCGGATCCGAGCCAGCCCACGCCCACTTCTGATTCCCCTTCTCGGGGACGGCCCCCCCGCCTTCGCGGAGGGGAGACCCGATCTGGCACCCAAGCTGGCCAGACTGGAGGGGAGTTGCAGGGGGTCCAGGAGGGGGGGGGGGTGCATCCCCTCCAGGGGTGGGTGTCCCATCCAAGGAAGCCCAGAGTCCCTCACCACAACCTAGACTTGGACACGTGGCCTGGGTGCAGGTGCCCGTGTTCCCACGGCCACCCCAGAGGCTGGATGTCTGGGCAGCTGTGTGTCCAGGCTGGCTCTGCCCTGGCTCTGCCTTGGCTCTTACCTCCGGCCGCAGTCAGGGAGGTTTCTTCAGGGGACTGCCTTCTGCTTCGTGTGTTGCACTAGGTGTTCGAGCAGCTGGGCTGTCCACGGATTCCCAGGGCGGTGGCGGTCACTTCCAGGCTGTGAACAAGATGCGCTGCGAGGCTGCTGGTCCCCAGCTCTACACCTGGCTCTGCTCCTCTCGTGCCAAGGCAAGATTGCTGCTTCAGGAGCTCCTGCTCTTGAATTCAACTCTACAGTCCAGGCTCACACAGTCCCATCATTTACCTGAGTTTGAGGAACTGCACAGGTCCCTAGCCAGCAAGAGAACCTGTCTCCGCTGTCCTGTGCCTGTATGGGTCCATCCATTTATGGCCGGTAGGGCTGTAGTAGAGGACTGATCTCTGGCTCAGACAGACACACCCCTGCCCCTCCAGCACCTCCACCTTGTCAGTCAGCTGCAGTCGGTGTGTTTGGTCTCAGGGTAAATCTCCGAGTTTAATTTTGATGACATATGTTTCTGTAAAAATATGTATGAACTATAGCTCCAGTCTCTGAAGTACATTCTCCAATTCCTGATTAAAAAAAAAAAAAAACAATTCCTGGGGCTGGGAATGTGGCCTCATGGTAGAGTGCTTGTCTAGCATGCATGATGCTCTCAGTTCAATTCCTCAGTACCACATAAACAGAAAAAGCCAGAACTGGTGCTGTGACTCAAGTGGTACAGTGCTAGCCCTGAGCAAAAGGAACTCAGGGATAGGCAGGCCCTGAGTTCAAGCCTCAGGACTGGCAAAAAAAAAAAAAAAAATCTATCTTAAAAATCCAGCTGAGGGAGACAGGCATACCGGTACACACCTGCAATGCCAATATTTGGGAGGCTGAGACAGGAGGATCTGGAGTTTGAAGCCGGCCTGAGCTGTGTGTGGAGGGAGTTGGGGGCCAGTCTGTGCAGGGAGGGGTTGGGGGGTACTAGGTGAGGGTGATTTCAGTATAAGAACAGTGGAGATACCTTATCCTCCAATCCTTTTGAAAGATGAGTCTGGACATAGGATTTCAAGCGTTGCAGTACATTTGAATTCTGCTTTCACTTTTTTAGCACAGATTGATAACGGCCAGTGAGTTGTTTTTGGATAGGCGGCACTGGCCGGGTCTGCCGTTGAGGCAGCTCTGTATCTAAGTGCGGGCCCGACCTCTTTGGGCAAAAGTGCATGGCTTGTGAACAGCAGCTCGGAGTTAAACAGAGCTCGAGGACCCACAATGGAAGCAACGCGAACACACACGGGCCAGGTCCCCTCCTCCCTGCAGTGGTCCTGAGAGAAGTTCATCTTCTCGGTATCCATCCATCTTGTGCCTGATCACGTTGCCCTCCCTCCCACGTGAGGGAGCAGGAGGCTATCCGAGGCACCTGGGAAAGTACCCTGAGGCCAAACACATGGATCACAGCTGAGCTGTCAGTCTTCCCGCATTCCTCTGCAGCTCTTCTCCCTCCTCGGCTGTCCAGGAAAGGCTGTCTGAGCTGTCTATTTAGAGAGTGGCAGGACTCACCTAGTTGAGCTATGGAAACTGGGCCGTGACCACACTGCCTGAACAGGGCACGCAGCTGTGAGTAGGGCCATGTCTACACTGCTGAGCTAACTGTAGACTTCCAGGAGATGGCCTGGCAAGTGCATTTTACCATGTTCTCATAGGAAGGCTTGGTGTCCGTGACCGTGATGCTTGGGGAAGTGCTTTCTCAGTCGCTCACACTGTACGACTGTTTGTTTCAGGAGTGCTTCTGTCATGGCGGGAAGGGACCCACCTGAGAAGCTGGACTCATCTGGACATGCATTAGTGCTCCTTCTTTTTCCTGCACAGAGAAGCATTTGTGTGGCCTTGTCTCCTCCCAGCACCCTTTAGAGGTAAATAATGCCTGTGTTGTTCTCTGACGGGGAAGCTGCAGGCCGGAAAGGGGAAGGCAGAACTGGGGCCGTGACGCTGCACACTCCTCTGAGTGCAAAGGTCTGGAAGTATTGTCTTACTGAGCCTCCGCTGAGTCCTGGCCCAAGAGAGGACAAACTGCGTTTGCAGCACAGGACACTGAAGCACAGGAAACATGAGCCAGCTGCCCAAGGAGCCCCAGCCAGCGGGCCACGGGGTGGAAGGCCAGGCAGGCTGTTCTTGGTGGCCGCCAGCCGGGTCCCCACCCGAAGCGGGCTTGTCACACGCATCGCGCCACTGTGGTTTCTGTCCTCCCAGGATGTGAAAGTGGTGGAAAGAGCCAGCAGGGTGCACCTGCACGCCCTGCCCCTCTGCTAGGATGTTCCTCATGAACGCCCCTCCAGTGGTCCCGCTCCAGTCTAGGTGGGAGGCCTTTGGCCCGCCTGGAGGATTCGGGTTCCCCACCCGAGCCTCGGTCAGCGCCGGAGTGCGCATGATCATCAGCTCGCTGCCACGTGAGGAGCCTCTGCGGGGCATGAGCGATGGGCGTGCCACGCAGAGGGACCAGCGAGCAGAGCCAGGGCGTGACGCCAGGCTGGGGGCCGGCCCTGCCATGCACAGGGAGCAGCCTGTGTTTGTTACCTGTGGCCTTGCTGCTGACGGTGGCCCTCTGGGGCGGGAGGAAGTGGTGCACCTTGACCCCTCGGTGCTGGACTCGGACAGCGATGACTCCGTCGACCGGGGCATCGAGGAGGCCATCCAGGAGTACCTGAGGGCCAAGAGCGGGGCTCCCCAGCCCAGCCCCTCAGCACCTCCTCCCTGGCCCACCCCGTCTCCCCTCAGCCCTCGCACACGGGCCGCCAGCTCCATCAGCACCCCTGGCAGCTCTGCAGGGGCCGGCCAGGGCTCCACCTCCCCAGGCAGCGTGAGCAGTGAGGACTCCTTCGAGCAGAGCATCCGGGCAGAAATCGAGCAGTTTCTGCATGACAAGAGACAACACGAGAACAAAAAAGGTGCGGGGCCTGTAGACGGGAAAACAGAGCCCGGTGACAGTGCTGCCACCAGACTTAAACCCTGCAGGGAGCCTCCCCCCAGGACGGCGCCCAGGCAGGACCCCGCAGGAGCCTGCAAGGAGTTTATCTTCCGGAAGCATCCCCGGTTGGCGAAGGCGAACACTCAGCCCAAGGCCGCGGAGCCCGACAGCCCCAGCCGCACGAGGCTGGCCGTGCCCAGGCCAGAGGCGGCGCAGCAGCGGGGCAGGGCCAGGAGGAACGCCAGTGCTGTCCGCAGGGGCAGGCGACCTCGGAGTGTGGCCTCTGTGCCAGAGGCCCCGGACTCCAGCAGCGATGACGGCATTGAGGAGGCCATCCAGCTGTACCAGCTGGAGAAGACCAGGAAGGAAGCCAGCGGGGACCCACCGCCCAGAGCCCCGCTCAGAGAGGAGAGGGGGCCCAACACCCCTGCCAGCGGTGTGGGCAACACCCCGCCGAGTCCAGTGCTGGAGGCCCACGGGAGGACCCCAAGCAAGAAGAAGCCAGCAGCCCCCAAGGCCGTAGGTGTGCCGGGGGGCCTCGACCCCGATCACCCCTCCAAAGCCCCCACATCTCCAGGACACGCAGCCAGCAGGAGCGAGTCTGCAGAGCAGGCCTCGTGCCAGGCGGAGGCATCCGCCGAGCTGATGTGTGCAGAGGCGATCCTGGACATCTCCAAGACCATCCTGCCGGCTCCCGGGCAGGGCGGCGACCCGCTTTTCCCCAGGGGCCCACTCTTCTGTGCCCCAGCCACCCCGGCCCACTCTGGTGGCGACAGCAGCGCAGTGGACAGCGACGACAGCATAGAGCAGGAGATCCGGACGTTTCTGGCTCTCAAGGCACAGGTGGGGAATCCACAGCCTGCCCAGCACCCGCCGTCACCACCGGGCCCCAGAGCCCGGGCTGGCCCCACCACAACCCTTCTCTCTAAACCTCCTGAGCAGCCTGCGGGCTGCAAAAGGAAGCGGAGAGGTGGAGGGGGCAGCGCCCCACGGCCAACCACACCCAAGAAAACCAGGGACCCAGTAGACAGCACCCAGAGTGGCAGCCACAGCCAGACGGTGGTTGAGCCTGGCTGCGAAGGGCAGGACTCGGCCAGCCAGGCCAAAGCCAGCAAGGCCCCAGCAGGGCAGAGCGAGGCCAAGAGCCAGTCTGTCCCCTCCAGGACAGTTGGGCTCATTGATTCGCACGCGGCTCCAGGCTTTGGGAACCCCAGGAAGGCAGACAAGGGTGGAAGCGTCAGAGAGAAAGAGAGTTCTGAGGACAAGAGTAGCTCGCTAGACAGTGATGAGGACCTGGACACGGCCATCAAGGACCTGTTACGATCCAAGCAGAAGTTGAAGAAGAGGTGCAGAGACCCCCAGGCTGTGGGCAAGAAGAAGGTCAGGTTTAGCACCACGGAGACACATTTTGTGGATAAGCATTGTGGGCTCCCCAGAGACTGGGCAGGCGGGAACCCACAAGTGCTGAGGAGCTGTCTGTCCAAGTCCAGAGGACCCAGCGGGGTGGGTCTGGGGCCACCAACGTCACGAGCCTTCAGCAGCGCAGCAGAGAGAACCAAGGCTGGCAGCTCGGGGGCCAAGGCTGCAGCGCTGGCTTTCCAGGCAGGAAGGACCCCCCACAGGACCATGCCTTCCTGGGACATGGGAGCCAGCCTCGGCCCTCCCTCAGCCTCCAACCCCAGCTCCCTGTCCGAGGACAGCTCAGTGGACAGTGATGATAGCATCGAGCTGGAGATCAGGAAGTTTTTGGCAGAAAAGGCCAAGGAGTGTGTGAGCACTTGCGTTCAGGCAGGGAGTCATGCTGCTCTGGGACCAGGGGGCCTGGCCAGGCCAGAGGTGCTATGCAGGAAAGAGCCGGCACCGCAGCCTGGGATACGAACCCGGAGCCAGAGAGCCAGGGCGGGCCCTCTGCTGACTGCAGGAGGCTGGGGCACGGAGCGGGCTGGGGCAGAGAGTGCCGCCAGCCTAGTTGTCCAGGGTGGAAAGGGAGCCTCGCATGCAGAGCAGGCCGCCCGCCCACCGGCTGCCCTGGGCAGGTGTGAGGCAGCACTGCCCAGAGGTGGCAGTGGGAACGCCTCTGCCAGGACGCCCTCCGGGGGCAAGAGGAGCACTGGTGCCCACAGAGACCAGAGCCCGCGAGGGGCCGAGCCGGCCGCTGCCGAAAGTGCTTTCGGCCAGCTGCCTAGCTGTGCCAGAATGACCACCGAGGCTGCGGGCACCGGGAGCATCTTTCACCTGAACTATGGCAGCGGGACGTTGCTGACCCCCAGCCCAGGACCCCAGGCTGACCTCACCCTCCCCTGGAGTGACTTTGCCCACCAGAGCAGGCTTTCCAGCCCCTGGACACTGAGCGCAGAAGGTCGGGGCTCCCCGTGGACAGGTGACCCCGGGAGCTTGAAAGGGAAGGGGGCAGAGGGGCCCACGAGGGGCCGGAGTGGCTGCAGCCCGGGCCCCCGGAAGAGCCTGCCCTTCACCAGCTTCCCTCCTCGGCTCTCCACCCAGATGGTCCACTTTGGAAAGAGCATTTCCTGGGGGGGCAGGCAGGCCGGCCTCTTCAGTCCCCACCTGGGCCTGCCTCTGCAGAGCCCAGCCTTCTCGGCCTTCAGGGAGACCCAGGTCGGCCACAGCCCTGTGTTCGGGAGCCCGTACTTGCTCACGAAGGACAGCGGGCCCCGGCCAAACAGGAGGGCACAGGGAGAGCTCCGCCTGCACTGCAGAAGCCTGGGCTCCGGGGAGGACATCTCAGACCTGAGGTACGGCCACCTCGCGGGCGACGGGGACCAGCAGGACCTGGAGGCCCTGGGCAGCGATGCCAGCGAGTACAGCGACACCTCCGTGGAGGACACTGGCGGCGGCGCAGCGGTAACGGGCAAAGTCCTCAAGCTGTGATGGGAGCCCCGGATCTTGTCACTTCGGTGGGAAGCGGCGCCACCATGCGTGTGCGTGTTTGCACAAGTCTGCGCCTAGGTGGGAAAGTGGCTGGTGGTGAAAGAGCGGAAACCAGAGAGTCCTTTCTAGTAGCCCCGTATGTATGTGTGTTAACTTGAAATTACGTTTTTATTTAACAGATGTGTCCTGATAAAGATAGGTTTTGTAGCTTTTTGTAAATTATTTCAAGTGTTGTTAAAAAAAAATATTTTTGGCCAATACTGTGGTTGCGTTTTGTAGGGCATCCCTAACCGCAGGCTTCTGTGGTCTGCTCAGGCGGCGAGGCGGATGAGCTTTGCTGATGAGCTTTGGCGCTCTCTTTCCCAGCCACAGCCAGACGCTTGGGCCAGCGCCTCCCGGCCACCTGCTAGCACACAAGCTGGGGCTTGGGGAAAGTGGCACTGGCCTGCTCGGAGCCTGCCGTCCTGTGCTGTGCCCAGAAGCTGGCAGGAGTTGCAAAGAACCCCAGGTCCCCAGGGGCCTCCGAAGACTGCAGTCACAGCCTGAGATGAGAGAATGATTCAAAGCACAAAGTCCTCTGACCAGCCATTCCGTCAGGTCCCGTCCGGTCCCGTCCCATCCTGTCCGGTCCCATCCCGTCCTGTCATCCTAAGTGAGGTTGGAGCCACTGGCTCTGCAGCTCAGCCCTGAGCTGGACCGTGTCCAGTGTTGTCCAGTGTCTAGAGAACTCGAAGATCTCAATAAACCTCTTTTTCTATGAGAGCTACTGATCTTCGTTTTTAATCGTGGCACACCTCAGGTATGTGTGCATCATCCTGCTGTGGACCCTCGTGTGTGAGTGAACAGTAGCACTCGTGAGGTGGTTTGGTCCACGGACACCTCGGTCACTTGTGGTGGTCAAGCCCCCAGTGCTGGGGACAAGCCTCCCACATAAGCGCCCTGAGGGAGCCGGGTGGATGTCACTGGGCACCCAAGCCAACCGTATGCATTGCTGTCTGTGGCCCGTCGTGCTGGGCCGACCCGTCGTGCTGGGCCTGGCTGGTTCCTCCTCAAGGCTTGCCTGCTGGTGCCCCCATAGTCCCACAGTGCCTGCAACTACCGCAGCGACCGCCTCTAATCTCTGCGTCATCACCGCGAGTTTTGCAACACAGGGTCTCCTCTGGAGCTCAGTGTTGTAGCTATTGGAACCAGAAGAGAATTTCTATACCTTGTGTACCTGGTTTTTGTTTGTTTGGTCATGGGGCTTGAACTCTGGGCCTGGGCACTATCCCTCAGTTCTTCATCTCAAGGCAAGAGCTCTACCACTTGAGCTACAGTGCCACCTCCAGTTTTCTGAGTGGTTTATCGGAGATATGAGTCACAGGGAATTTTCTGCCCAGCCCCTTCTGGCTTTTTAATGGTCACTTGGAGATAAAAATCTCAGACTTGGGCTGGGAAGGTGGCTCAGTGGTAGAGCGCTTGCCTTGCATGCATGAGGCCCTGGGTTCGATTCCTCAGCACCACATAAACAAGAAGAAAAAAGCCGGAAGTGGCGCTGTGGCTCAAGTGGTAGAGCGCTAGCCTTGAGCTGAAGAGCTGAGGGACAGCTCCCAGGCCCCGAGTTCAGGCCCCACGACCGGACCAAAAACAAACAAACAAAAAAAAAATCTCAGACTTTCCTGCCTCGGCTGCTTCAAACCAAGATTCTCAGATCTCAGCCTGAGTATCTAGATTTACAGATGTGAGCCACCAGCACCCAGCTCATGGCCTTTCAGTTACTTGGCTCATTCAGCTGACGCTACATTTAGGCCACATCTCCAGTCTGTTTTTTGCTGGCTATTTTGGATAGGAAGTCTCTGCCTGGCCTGGCTTTGAACTTTGAACCTGTATATCTCAAGTTCCTGAATAGCTAGAAATACAGACATAAACCACTGGCAATCCTGCAAAAACATCCAGTTTTAAGAGCTTCAGTCATCCTGGTGTGGGGAAGGGCTGGGGAAATCACCTTTATTTATTGCTCAAGATGTGAATGATCATATGACAGCACTTTATCTGCTCATATAAAAAAATATGTCCTGTCCAGCGATGGTGATTCATGTCCATAATCCTAGCTACTGAGGAGGCTGAGATCTGAGGATCACTGTTTGAAGCCAGCCCTGGCAGAAAAATCCCTGTGAGACTCTTATCTCCAATAAACTACTCATAAAAGCCAGAAGTGGTGGTGTGGCTCAAGTGGTAGAACTCTAACCTTGAGCAGAGAGAGGCTCAGGGATAGCACCCAGGCCCTGAGTTCAAGCCCCAGGACCAGGAAAAGAAAGCTTCAGCTTGGAAATACATCAAACAGACAAAGGTCTGGAAGTTTATAATCACTGTTTTTCCTTCATGACACCTGCAAATGCAGAGCGACTTAGAGCCTGGCGTGTGGGAACGGATGCTCGGGCCCGGGCTCTGGGGGCTTTCCTGAGGCAGCTTCCAAGACGAGGCCTGTCACAGGACACCTCTGGAGCCTCACTTTCCCACCTGAAAGCAAAGGCACAGGGTAAGTGCTGTGTCCAGGCCAGGGAAGGGTCAGCTGAGGCCATAGTGCCCAAGCCCTGCAAAGCTCACTGGACAGCCAGAGCCAGACTCGCCCTCGCTGAAGCCCTGGGAGGATGGACACAGCCACAGCTTGCATATCCCTCAGAGGCCCGTGACCTGTGCCCCCCAACTCCCAGGTAACGGAGTCCGAGGGAACCGTGTTGGGAGGCCATCAGGGTTGCCTGCGGTCAGGAGCGTGGGGCCCTTGGCATTAATGAGTTGGTAAGAAGGGGGAAAGACCTGAGCTCTCCCAAACCCAGACCCAAATCACCTTCTACTTTCAAATAAATACCCAGCCTCAAGTTTTTCAGTGTAGCAACAGCAACAGAATAAGACATATTAGAGGAAATGAGAGTTTGTCTTTCCAGATGCTTCTATTTAGAGAATGCAGCAGCAGCAGCAGTTGCTGCAGAAACAGCATCTTAATAGACATGGCCCATCAATGTCCTCCAGCCCAAGCCCACGCTGCCCACAGGACCCTCTGGATCCCCTAAACAGTAATGAGTTATTATTGTTATTATTATGTATTAGTATTATTTGGTGATAGTAGAGTGGGGCTCTACCACCTGAGCCATGCCCCTAGCTCTCTTGTCTCAAGTTTTTGCCTGGGCTGACCTAGGACAGCAATCCTACCTACACTTCCCGTATAGCCAGGACCACGTGACACGAGCCACCATCTACCTTGTTTTTTTGAGATAGGGTCTCATTACCTTTTTGAGGATCATGAGCCATGATCTTCCCGGTCTCTGTCTCGAGAGTGGCTGGACTTACAAGCATGGACCGCTGTTCCTGGCCAGCAGCCACACACCTTCTTTGCTGACTGCTAGGCCCAGGCCAGGCCCAACAGGGTCCTCAGCCCGGAAGGGAGAGCTCTGCCCAGCACTGAGGTGCACTAGCCACTCCGGCCCCGCCCCCTGCTCTTCAGAACCACCTGGGAGGAAGGGCTTCCTCCTCCTTAGTGTGTCCTGAAGCTTCTTTAAGAGGCTTCAACACAGAAGGGTTACACTGGCACTTTGATGGTAGGACTGTAAGGAACCTATCTTCCGTCTGACACTCAAATCGCTGGTTTCCCAGCTCAGAAGAAAGACATGACATCTATTCTGGCGTCAAGCTCTGCTTTGTATCCTTTATATTAGACATATTGAGCAGTTCTGTTCTCCTTACCACAAGGGACATTAAGAATACTGCCCAGTGTTTACTTCTCTGCATTCATAATCATTAGTCCTGGCTGACGTTTAACTTCCTCCCCAAACTCCTGCCTGAGAGATCCTGGAGATAAGTAGGCTATGAAGGAGCCCCCAGGGTATGTAAGAATCTTCTCTTCCTAGAACCTAGTAGCTTATACCCAACACTGACTTAGGATTCTAGATAACAATCTACCTATGTAGTTATTCCTCCACCTCCAAATATACTAATTACTCCTCTGATTTTAACTTTCTCTTGAAACTTACAATCATAGAGATCCTCCCTTTAACTCAAAACACTGGATCTTGTCTGATCTCTAGCTAAGCTGTGCCTGGCCTAGTTGGCACTGAGATGGGAGAATGGCAGGTCCACCGTGCCCAGTGGACCTTTCCTCTCTGGCCCCTTCTGGCCTTCACCAGTCTCTCTCCCTCTGCACCATGAATGGATGATTTGCCAACAGGTGTCTGCTCTTCCCATCACACAGTCCTTGGCCACACCATGCCCAGGCACAGCACCCCATGCTCCCCAGGGCCCCTCCGGGGTCCAGGGTAACAATCATGGCTGCCTGATGACATTGCTGGCGTGCTACCCATGCATTTCTTGACTCCAGCTTAAACTTCCGGTCCCAGACACCCACAGCTCTGGCGTTCCATCACAAATATGGAGTGACTTAGAAATTCAGACAGAGGAGCTGGGAATGAGGCCCAATGGTAGACTGCTTGCCTAGCATGCACAAAGCCCTGGGTTTGATTCCTCAGTATCACATACACAGAAAGGGCCAGAAGTGGCTCTGTGGCTCAGGTGGTAGAGTACTAGCCTTGAGCACAGAGAGGCTCAGGGATAAAGCCCAGGCCCCAAGTTCAAGCCCCAGGACTGATTAAAAAAAATTCAGACAGAGGCAATGTTTTAATGGAAAATTAAGCCATTCACATCTTCTCTACACATATCTTCAATATCAAAGAAAGAAAGCAGGATAATATAGCCCCTATTTGCATACTTTTCTGTTGCAAAGACAGAGCAGTGTTTTCAGAGAAAGAAGTAGCCAGTGTACGTTTACAATTTGGGAACTTGTCAAGCACTAGGGCAGAGCTGCTGGGGAGCAGTGGCTGGGGCACAGAGCATGTCACCCTCAGTCACAGAAGGACGGCCTGTTGCCGTTGTAACTGGGGTGGAAGTTGAGCCGGTCACAGGGGGTGATGTAATTGTCAGGACCCGTCACGATGCTCTTCTCCAAGACGACATTGAAAACGTTGCTCTGGAACATTCCGCAAGCTGCCTGGTGTTTGGAAAACTTGTTTGAGTTTGGGTAATATTCTGTCTGGAAGAGAGAAGAAATATGAGGATTCCGGGTATGCCATGATGCTCTTTTTAAAGCTCTTTGAAAGACTGTAAGAGGAAAATGTCCTCCTCGTTCCTAGCAGGGAAAGAAGCAGGTGGACAAGATGGCCTGGCCCGCCACGGCCTCACCGGTTTACATGGGCAGTCTGGGAATAGTGATGAATAATGCCCGCGTTCACCAGGACGCGGACGTTACATGGGGACATGGGGGCATTGTCACCCTTGGTTATGACCGTGAGCGTTAACCTGGGATCGGGCCTGGAGCGCTGCATTTCCCTGTTCACTGAACGTCAGTGTCTCTTCTGTGGGATGAAAGCCGCGTCTACATCAGGGTGTGTGTTAGTCAGGTGTGCGATGATCGCACACGCTACCTGAGACTCAGCACTTACCAAGAGGAAAGGTTTAAGCATTGGGGGTTCTCACTCAGATCAGGCAATGCCCTTGGTGTGGCCTCGTGTGGATGGCAGAATGAGCTGCTCACACCAGGAGCCACACAGCAGAGCAAAGAGATGCCACCAGGGCTCCCATAGCCCCTCCCAGACACACCCCAGTGCACCCTGGGACCCACAGATACCCTGGGGTCTGCAATCCACCCTGGGGCCTGCAGTGCACCCTGGGGCCTGCAGTGCACCCTGGGACCCGCAGTGTACCCTGAGACCCGCAGAGCACACTGGGACCAAGTGTTTACCACCTGGACCTTTGGGAGACACCCGTTCACATGACAGGAGTGGTTTTAAGGACTCACCAAGTGTTAATGTCATCTTAGAGCTGTCCAGCAAAACAAAAGCAAACCTCCATGGCCCATACCCCACCAGCCCAATGGTCTTGACGCTGTGTGTGTGTGTGTGTGTGCTGGGGCTTGAATTCAGCATCACACACTGTCACTTGGCTGTTTCGTTCAAAGCTGGTGCTCTACCATCTGAGTCACACCTCCACTTTACAGCTTTTTGCTGGTTAACTTGGAGATCAGAGTGTCACAGACTTCTGCCTGGGCTATGTTCAAATCATAACCCTTAAGCCACAGCCTCCTCAGTAGCTGTGATTACAGGCATGAGCCCCCACTGCCCAGGAAGGTTCTGTGTATGTGGGAATGCTCAGCACCTGTGTGATGGCTGTGGGTCTGTGTGAATGCTCAGTACACAGCCACGTGAAGGGTGTGTGCATCTGTGGCTGCTAAGTGCCTGTGTGGAGCGTGTATGTGTACAGATGATGTGTGTGTAGATTGTATGTAGATGTGCAGACTGTGCACATTATGAAGACGGAGTGCATGTGAAGGTTGCGCATGTCACAATGGTGTGTATGTGTGATGGTTGCATTCGTGTGTGAGGGCCGAATGCGTGTGCATTTGTTATGACTTGCACAAATATGCATGTGTGAAGGTTGAGTGTACAGTGAAGGTTGTGTGACAGTTGTGTCCATGTGTAAGGCTGCATGCACTACAAAGGCAGGTGTGAATGTGCAGGTCACATCCATGTGTTATGACTGTGTACATGTGTTACGGTTGTGTTCACATGTGAAGGTGTGCATGCGGGCATGTACCGGGAGACGAGAGGAACATAGCGGCAAATCTTCCTGCAATTTCCTCTTTCTAGAACACATTCGCCTTCTACATTCATGTGCAAGTCAGGCACAGCCCCCCCCTCTGGGTGCTAGAAGCTGGAGCTCCCCCACCTCCTTCCACCCATCCAACATGTTCAGGGCCCCCCAGGTCCTCCCCTCTGCGTGCCCCACACACCGGCATCTCATGCACAGTGGGTGCTCTGCTCCCGTAGGTCTGGTTACTCGTCCTGTACAAGGAGACGACCTCCTGGCTCCTGCAGAGGAGAAACACACCCTTCACTCACTCATCCAAGTCTGCCCGGCCACCGCCTTACAGAATTTGGCTGCTGGAGGCCTGTTGGCAGAGCCCCCAGGACAGCCATGTGCCAGGCTGGCCGCGTGCAAGGCGGGCAATACAGCTGGAATGCAACACTCACCCTGGCAGGCCCGTGGCCCTGGCCTCCTCTAAAGCCTCAGTCCCCTCCTCCCAAAGCACTGCTGAAGGGCACCCAGCCCGACCCTGGCGGGGCCACTGCCTAGCTCCGCTAATTACCCTGGGAAGCTGCCTGCCATCAGCTGCAGGCCCTGCCTCCGGGGGGCCTCCTTTCTAAATCCCAGCTCCACACCCTTGCCAAGTGCAGGTATGCAGATGTGGCTGCTGTCCCCAGTGCTGCCCTGCCTACTGGCATGGCCCAGGGCCACTGCCCACAGCTCCATTTCCTACTGGACAGGCTCCACAGGGAACGCATGGACACACGCAGACAGGACTTGTGGGGGTGGGGCACAGGGCAGGGGGGTCCTTGCATCTGCCTGCAGCAATGGGGGTATTTTGTTATTTCCTAGGCCTGGCTGCCCTGTAACCTCAGCCTCACCACCCCCAGCAATACCCACCCACTCTGGTAGAGGTTCAAGAGTGATTCATTGACTTTGCTAGAGAACCACCACGCAGACATCCAGGTACAGAGAACAAAGAAAGGTTTATTGGCAGGAAAGGGGGTGGCAAGACCCTTCTCACAAGGGAGAAGGGAGAAGCAGCACCGGCTATTGTCTGGGGTGACCTATATCACCTAGGAGGTTTAGGAGGGGCTGGAAAGGGCTAGGAGGTGGAGACCCCGGTTGGGCCAGGGGCTTCATCATGGTGGACTAGGATTGATGGCTGCTGCCCAAATAGTAGACAAGAGTCCTGCAGCTGCCCAGAGCTGAAGGTCACTGTAAGGGGCTCTTGCTGCCTTCTATGGTGGAAGCTGCCCCAGAGAAGTGCCATCCCGAGTAAAGGGGGCTGGCGGCTGATGATTCACTGCCTGGTGTTGCCTGGAAGGGAGCGTGCCAAGCTGTGGGAGGGGAAGGGGACTAAGCTATGGGAAGGAAGCGCATTTCGCTAACAAAGAGGAGGAGGGGGTGGCCGAGGCTCCCCATGGTCACAAAGGTTCTGACTTCCACACTGCAGCTCACATTCCAGGGTGCGGCTTTGGGGAGCATTTCTGGGATGGGCTGGGGGGGGACGCCCAAGGGGAAGCCATGGGAGACATGGGGCTGTCTGAGCATCCCGCTGCCTTCCAGACGTGCCTCGGGCCCCCCCCCCCCCCACCATTCTCTCCCTCCCCCCCCCCCCCCCCCGCCCCCCCCCCCGGCCTGCCCATCTTCCTCACCTGTAGCCCTGGAAACAAGCTGGGTTGTTGAACCTGACCGGCAGGCCCTTGCTCACACGGTAGTAGTCGCTGGTCTTCTCCGGAGCCTTGGCCTTGCGTTTCACAGGCTTCCCACAGTCTTGGGGGGGGTCTTCGCACTGTGGGGTGCTTGCCTTATACTCTTGGGAGTGTTTCTCACACTCGGGGGGGATTTCCTTGCATTCTTCGGGGTGTTCCTCCGACATTTGGCCTCTAGTAGGAAAAACTCACTACAGCCAAAGCCTTCAAAGTAGCTAAGCCCTGGGTGGCAGCAATAGCTTGTTGTCCTGTTGCTAGGCAATGGAGTCACCTGATCTGGAAGGCTAGGTCCTTAAAGGGGCAGGTGCAAGGCCCGGCAGGCTCTCCTCCCCCCTCCGCCCCCCAGAAGTAAGTAACAGTGGCATGGCGGGGCAGGGAGAGAGAGCACATCCTTGCTGGCCCGAGGATCCCGGGCGGGCCAAGGGACTCTTTCTGGAACTTTTTGGCACACCTGTATGGCACCAAATTGCGGCAGGAGGCAGCTTTGGGGTCCGGGGCACCCCATCCGCAGGGGTGTGCCCGTCCCGTGGGGGACTCCACCCAGGAGCCTGCGACCCCGGCCGCCTCAGGCCTCCCCGCAGCGCTGCGCCAGGGCAGGCGCCCCACGTCCGCCCCGGCTCGCTGGCTCGGCCTCACTCCAGCAGCTCCCGAGGCTGAGCTGTGAGGATCGCGGTTCGAAGCCCACCTGGGCAGGAAAGGCCGCGAGGCTCTTGCTCCAAGCAGGGCCCACGGGCTGCAGTGGCGCGCGGCTGGAGGAGAAGGGCTGGGGGGCCGGGCCGGGGGCGGAGG